GATCCTAGGTCTAAATATAGGAAGTATATTTTTAATCCCTACTTCAAAAGTAATGGCTAGTGTTTAGATAGGTAAGACCTACATTCTTGTTTGTCCAGTCATCTGTAATCCTTCGCTTGATCACCGTTCTAAACGAGGGACGCTTGTATTGTTACGTGTGTCCGTTTGTACGCTAACACTGGCGGAAGCAAATAGTCACTTCACGAGCCTTTGTGTCGTGGATTGTTTTGCAGGTCAGCAAATTGTACTCCCCCACTCAGTACTGATGAAGCCGGCATTTTTTCAATCTGTCGACTTGGTGAAACTGACTCCGCCCTTTGTAAGCAAGGGATGCGGATGTGGATTAGTGATATATATAATAGGGGATGCTGTACGAGGGGTTTAGTTGATGGGAACGTTTTCGTCGTGTTGGTTATGGTGTGTGGTCGGCCATGGGTTCTTTCTGGTCCAAGGTAGATGAACTGTTTTTTGTTTGAGATTTTACTCACTCATTTTACCCCATGTTTAATTATGTAGTTGGTTGGTTGGTTTGTTGTTTTACGTCGCACTCAGCAATATTCCAGCTATATGACGGCGGTCTGTAAATAATCGAGTCTGGACCAGACAATCCAGTGATTGATGTCTTGCGTATCAATCCACACAATTGACTATGCTTGTCGTAAGAGGCGACTAACGGGATCAGGTGGTCAGGCTTGCTGACTTGGTTGATGCATGTCATCTATCCCAATTGCGTGGATCGATGCTCATGACATCAATCACTGGATTGTCTGGTCCAGACTTGATTATTTACAAACCGCCGTCATATAGCTGGAATATTGCTGAGTGCGGCGTTAAACAACAAACCAAACCAAACCAAAAAGTAACGTCAAGGATGCATTGACGTGTTTTCTGGTGTACAGTGCTCGCTCGAGAATAATGTGCATCCCCTGTTCAGGAAACATTACCCTCTCACTGATAATGGATGAGGGGGCACGGGTGGCCCAGTCGTCTAAGGCGCTGTGATTCGCTGTGCAGAGTTGCATCCCTTGGGCACGCCAAAAACCTATGATTGTGGGTTCGAATCCCGGTTCACCACGATTATGTTTCTAGGTTTGTCAGCACCATACCCGTGCTCGTGGGTTTCACCAAGTGGTAAACGTCTGAGACCTGCATCACTTCGGGCTTTCCTCCCACATTAAGCTGACACGCCGTGATATACCGTGTTCGACGTAATAAGCGCCCAGGGCGTTCTCAAAATTAGGAATAGGGGGCTCTTATTAGAATATTATTTTGGTGAAAAAAAACAGAGTTGAATGATAAATTTCGTGGTTTATGCTGACAGCCTGAACTGTTTATATACGACAGATATATTTTTTCAGAATTTAATTGCCTATAATTAAGGGTACATATAACACACGAGTGCGTGTTATACGCGAATAAATAAGTCTTGTGTACTTTGATCAATTGGAAGGGGTGCTAATTGGCATTGTTCACTTGCCAATATATTAGCAAATATCGCCGTGGGCGCTTATTAGAGCTTGGCGCTTATTACGTCGAATACGGTAACTGGAATAATGTTAAAAGCGGCGTTAAACTCAACTCAGTCAGTCAGTCAGATAATGGCTGATTTGCAGTCAGAACCTTCAGGTGAACGAACAGGAGATAACGAACTTGGTCAGTGTAAATATCAATTAACAATCCCAGTGTGACACTAACTGGCCAGCATGGTGGTCAGGTTGTCAGTGTTTGATCTAGCTTACTAACTCTCAGGTGATCAAACACTGTAGTCGCTCACACAGACTCTGGAACATTAGATACAAAAATTCCTGAACAAGCCTACAATACTTTGTCAAGTCTGGCTATTGTCAGTCTGAAAAAAATATTCTCTGGGTTCATTTCTGTTATGTTTAACAATTTAACAAAACATTTCTTGAATTATTTAAATTTCAGAGTCGAAATGTTTGTCTACAAACACTGGTTTGTCTGGTACAGACTCAAGCAGAATTATATGTGTTCCTATGACTCACCAAAGTGGCGCTTGCTCCCTCCCTCACTCAAACAACTGCAGGACAAGAAACCTTCAGTTATCGGCAACATGTCAGAAAGCTATGGGTCAATATTAGACCGTCACTGTTGTGTCGCAATATGGTCAAAGGGGCATAACTCTAGCTTGAAAGTTGTGAAGTATCAGACCACCATAAAATCCTTGTGCGATCAACCTCAAAAGTATTTGAATTTTGTAATATTTTGTTTCATTTTGTCAATGATTTTTTTGTAATTATTTGCTGTGGTGCATTGAGTTTGAATTTATCCACACTCATTTACATGGCAGTTTTCCCAGCTTTACATATCATCATCATCATCATCATCATCATATCACAAGCATGCACCAGTATTCATTGTATGCTCATCATCATCATCATCATCATCATCATCATATCACAAGCATGCACCAGTATTCATTGTATGCTCATCATCATCATCATCATAGACCTGTGCTTGGCTCAACTGGTCATAGACTAGAGGAGTTCAATGATCACAGCATTATCTCACGGCATCTTGAAGCGGAATTGGGGTCGGGGGGGTAGCCTAGTGCAGAGCTCCAGATAAGCTTTTGGTGTTGTGGGTATTTTACCCATGCATTTTAAAATTATTGGGTATCAGTAATTCTATCTGCGTATTCAAAATTCTGTTACCCACTAGTTTTTACACACGTGGGTATTTAAGTTAAATATTTAAAAACACTATTCATCTAGTCCCTGCAAACTGGTGTCTTGTGGGTTCGAGAGCTTTATAGGACTCCAAAATACCACGATACTTCCACAAGAAAGTGTGATGGCAAATGATCATGATGTAACCGTCATCGTGGAGTTTGGCAAGGTTGACGGAATGCCCGTTTATAATTTCAAAATAAGTTGCTGATTTGCTAATCGAATACGCAGGGTAACTTCAGAATATTTTGATGATACGCACAAGTTTTATTTTTGTAGCGTATCTGTAATGTTCGTTGCGTATTTAATACGCTTGGATTATATTTTACTGTGTATTTCTGCAATTCTGATGCGTATTTCACGCAGATACGCAGCTTATCTGGAGCTCTGCTAGTGGTTGAAGCGTTGACTCGTCACTCCGAATGACAGGTTTGATTCCCCACATGGGTACAATATATGAAGCATTTCTGGTGTCCCCCGAGTCAGTATGCGTTTCTGTTGAATGACATATGACTGCTTTATGGCCAATGAATATTGTAGAAACCTTTGCATTTTGTAATAATTTTTTTGTGTAGGCTCTATTCTACCCTCACTTTTGCAGAAGTAAAACTTTAAATAAAAATGATTTTGGGATTGAAAATAAAAATCCTTTGTCTTTATGTTTGTTAATACGTTCATGTCAAGATATTGACTCTTGACGAAAAAATTCAGAAACAAGAAACATATTGGGAATATTGGGATTGGGAATACCGTATTCGATGTAATAAGAGCCCAGGGCGCTCTCAAAATTAAAAATAGGGGCCTCTTATGAGAATATAATTTTGCTGAGATTAAAAACGAGGTTGAAAGATTGTAAATTTTGTGGTTTATGCTGACAGCCTGAAATGATATAAAAGAAGAATCTGCGCGTATTATACACGATAGATATGTTTTCGAGAATTTAATTGCCCATAATTAAGGGTGCATATAACAAACGAGTGCATATTATACACGAATAAATAAGTCTTGTGTACATTGATCAATTGGAAAGGGCGCTAGCTGGGATTGTTCACTAGCCAATACATTAGCAAATATCGCCGTGGGCGCTTATTAGAGCAGGGCGCTTATTATGTCGAATACGGTATTGTGAATCAGTAAATTGATTGCAGTAAAATCACATTTTTTAAATTTTATTTAGAGACTTAATGGTTCCATGTGTATAAGCTTTATTATGGTAATCTGTATCTAGGTAACTAATAAATAAACTACTGCTTGAATGAATTTTGAGTGAGTGAGTATGATTTTACGCCGCTTTTAGCAATATTCCAGCAATATCACGGCGGGGGAGACCAGAAATGGGCTTAACACATTGTACCCATGTCGGGAATCGAACCCGGGTCTTCGGCGTGACGAGCGAACGCTTTAACCACTAGGCTACCCGACCGCCCCCGAATGAATTTTGAACATTCATACTTTCGAGGATGACCCCAAATTAGGTCTCCATGATGTCGATGTGTTTTGTAGACATTTAAAACTAAATATCGAGGAATCCAGTGGGCATGGGTATGGTGCTGAAACAGGTAGAAACATAAATAGGGTGAATCTTGGATACGAACCATTGATCATAGGTGTCTGACACGCCAAAGGGAGGTAACTCTGCACTGTGAATTGTGGTGCCTCAGACAACAGGGTCACCCGTACCTCCCAGTGTCTATGAGGTACCATCTGGATTATGAAGATCTGAATATCGTGAGGGGAACGGGTGGCCCAGTCGTCTAAGGCGCCGCAATTTGCTGTGCAGAGTTCCATCCCTTGGGCATGTCAGATACCTATGATTGTGGGTTCGAATCCCGGTTCACCCTAATAATGTTTCTAGGTTTGTCAGCACCATACCCGTGCTCGTGGGTTTCACCGAAGTGGTAAACGTCTGAGACCTGCATCACTTCGGGCTTTCCTCCCACATTAAGCTGACACGCTGTGATATGACTGGAATACTGTTAAAAGCAACGTTAAACCCAACTCACTCACTCACCAATGAATATTATGATAAAAATGGAACTCTGTTCAAAGCGATTTTAATTCACTCACTCACTGTGATCTGTTATCCGATTGATAGAGCCTAAATTTGGATTTGTGTTATAATTACCTATGAAAGTGAGCAAAATCTGGCCAGGATGACTTGTTGATGACATCACACATATCAGCAAGAATTCAATTGATATTTCTCCTTGACAAAGAATTATTCAACTTGGTGAGCTACTGAACCTTGAGGTATGAAATGTATTATTCCAGGATATATGTCATACTTACAATCACCATTCTCTTTTGCAGAAGAAAAGTGAGGGTGATGCGAACAGTGATGTTTTCTTCCGCGGAGCCTCGGCAGAAAGCGAGGTTGGCGAGAAGGTCATTGTTCCTCCAGTCGACGAAAATTGGACCTCAGAATTCCCCTGGGCGTGGGCTTACAATGACGAGGATGCCCCTTGGCAAGATGCTGTACATAGAGAAAATGAATACTATGACCAATGGTTCGCAGAGAGAAGCAGCCTCAACCAATCAGATTCTCCGGCACAGGAGACAACTCTGGATGGGGCTGAAAGAGAACAAACGACAATTTCCAAACAAGTTTCGACGAGAGATGAAGTGCAAGAGAGTGAAAAGTTATGTTTCCGAGAAGATTCTACGGAGGTGATGACAAGTGATAATGATTATGTGAGAGACAATAACAAAAATGACTTTCAGTTTGAAATTCTCGATAACCGAGAAAGTGCCAAAACTGAATCCACAGAACTTTTGAAAATCATTGACAGTGATTCTGATCTGAAGATGAAAGACGAGCCGTACAGTGAAAGTGATTTGAATGACCCGACAAGTGTTGGGGACTTTGAAGTCTCAGCAAGTGACGACACCGGATTGAACATGTCCGTGTCGGATGTGGACACGACAGACCAGGACATGGGGATGAGCATATCGGACATGACAAGTTCTCAGTCTTCGGGCACACTGTCGTGTGGTGAGATCATGTCGGACAGTATGTGCGAAAACCTAGAGGACATCGAGGTTTCAGACACCCAAGTCATGACTTTCGACGATTCAAATGTGCCCAAATTAATGTCCGATTCAAGTTTCGCTACCGATCCTGATAGTGGCTTGGACAGAACGATTGATGATTCCATGTTGGACATACTGAACATGTCCACGGACACCAGTCATAGTTCCATCTTTTACTCTGAAATGACATCAAGTGAAATCCCTCCTATCACAGACAGTGAAAGTGTTATGAAGCTTGATAGCGGATTGAGTGAAGCCACTGAGGAGTCCTTCCAACATAAACCCAAAGAATCTGAAGGTATGGCTCCAGGCATTTCTCCAGGAGTGATTGGAGACTCCAGCCACAGTACTGTCATCCCTTCAGATGCTTCTCAGTCCATTCATGACATAACCAAAGATGATTCATTTCACGAAGATCCTACTCATATCTCCACTTCTCAGGAAGGTGTTCACCAGTGGGATCCTTCATCTTCTGACCAAAGTCTTTCATACTCACCCTCCACTGTTGATGGGACCACGGACATGACTAGTCACGATAGTGATGAACATTATGAGAATTTTGTACCTGGGACAGATCCGGATGGCCAGACTGGCCCTGAATCTCAGGAGTCCTTATATTACTCATATCCAGATGATGACCTTTCCTCTATGGATCAAGATTCAGGTCTGATTTCCAACACACAGACCTTACCCCGACTAGACCTCGACCAGTACTCTGGAGAAGTTTCGAGGATTCCTGGCCAGCCAATTATTGTGGTGTCAGAGTATCAAACTCCAGATAGTACTCCTCTAGAAGAGACTGCAAAATATTCTTTTGATGCATATCGAGATCAGGTTGTGCCTTATTCTGAAGAAGACGCTGAAGATGATTTTCTTGCCAATGAGAAACTTTGTGATACTGAACCCACTGAAGTAGCATCCAAGGACTTCAAACACAAACAAGAATGTGATGATTTACAAGATTATGATAGTACAATACATTCTGGTCCATACGAATCCCGAGCCATATCGGATGTTTACCATAGGGCAAAAGATAAAGCAAGTGCAATTCAACAGGAACCTTTCTTTGTAACTTGTGAACCTTGTGGTGAGACTCTTGACAATGTCACTGAAAGTGATCTTAGTTCCACACCAACATCTGAAGCCAGTGCTACTGTCCATGAAGTATTTAGTGACTCTGTAACAGACATTTCAAGGACTATTTCACACTTAAGTGAAACAGAGTCAACACAGATAGATCAGGTTTTTAATCAAGATAGTAATGCAAATATGATAACAGGCGTAACCGACAGTGTTCCAACAGGATTTCAGTCCCTTACAGATATGTCTGCTGGGTTTATTTCTTTCGATACACATAAACAGACAGATGTTTCCAGTCAGTCTCAAAATGAGCTAAATGATGATGACTATGATGAAACTGCAACTGAGTCTATTGTTGCAGAATCCGAGGCAGAGTCTCAGGACACATCTGCTAGTGTTGTGACTGTAGTTGAATCCAGACTTGTGGATTTCGACAATTTATCTGAGAGTGCTTCCTTTGAAGATCTTGCAAATATCCAAGAGTCAAGAAGCATGCACAGTCTTGATGGAACGTCTGTGGATGTTTTGGGTGAGGCTGTTGATTTGTCCTGTTCCTCAGTTGATAGTGAAATGCTGCCTGAGAGAAGTGGAATCTTCAGTGATGGCACATCTGTGGATGATATGTCTGCAGCTGACAGTGAGGGAAGTCCAAGAGAAGTAGATGCTGACAGTCCTCTAGTTACAGCGTCTGAGGGAACATCTGTTGATGACTTCCTGGACTCCTCATCTTTGGACAATGTCGACACAAAATCAACATCATCTGAACAGATGTTTGAAAGTGCAAGTGAGACGTCCTTGATGGAAGGGTCCTCGGTTGATGAAGCATTTGTGACATTGGTTGAGTCTTCAGTTGATAAGACTGTTGCAGGAGTAAGTTCAATGCCAGGTACTTACCCATCTCAAGAAATTATCAGCGAGGAGTCGGCAGTGTGTGTTGCCTCAGATACAGGTGCCAGTCAGTTTGAGGATGCTGAAGGCTCCTCTGTTGATGGCCTTCCAAACACAGAAGCAATACCAACTGGGGAAACAGAACACAAGACAATAGAACCCTCAGACAAGGAGGAACACATTACCACACCTCAATCAAGTCATTCTGTTGTCAGTCCTGAGACGGCGTCAAGTGTTCTGTTACGAGAGGAGCAGCACAGATCAGTGACAGAAACTGCTGAAATTGAAACAAACAGACTCTCCACTCCTCTGTCAGACTATGCAACATCTTCAGATGGAGCCAACAGTGATGATGTTGGTATCACTGATATGGATGTAGCTGCTGAACTGGCTGCATGGGATTCAACATCGAGTCAACTTGTTTACGGAGAATCGAGTCAGATTATACCCGAAGATGAGGTTGCTGTAGGATCTGCTGTTATCCCTCCAGTACAACCGATGACAACTGAAAACATGCCAGACTCTTCTAAAGAGCAATCAGAGAATGCTGAGTCTGTTGATGTAGAAGAGGAGCTGTTTGGTGAAACAACTGATTCTCTTGAGGCTTCAGCTGATGATACAGCTACAACAGAGGCTGGTCTTACATCAGATGAGACTTTGGACTTATTAGAGGAATGTTTTGAAGATGTCAAAGAAGATCAAAGCTATCCATTTGATGCTGAACTGGATACAGTGACAGCAAAATCTACTCAAGAAACTGAACAAACACTGGCAGATAGTGACGTTGACTTGTCCGTTTCACATATTACCTTGGTAGAAGAGTCTCAGCAAGTTGCCTTGGGGGAATATGCTCAAGGAGCAAGTAATACCAGTTCATCAAGGAATGAAACACTGTCTACCTCAAATGAATTAGAAGCTGTGGTATCTGAAATGTTCCACGATGGAGCTAAGCAGCTGGAGATCACGAGGGAAGCAGAAGGGGAGGCTCTTGAATCTGACACAAGTGGTGATAAAGTGTTGGCAAGGGAAGTCAAAGACACATCCACTGCAGAGATGGATCGAACAGACCAAGTAATATATGCATCAGATATGTCAACATCTCTGTCTTCTGCTGGAGGTGATTCACTGGAAATAAAACAAGCCCAAGAAACAACTGATGAGTCTGTATTGCTATCAAGTAAAGATACAATCAGTGAGTCAATAACATCAATGGGTGAACCTCAAGACGAACTCCATGGGTTATTGCACCAGTTTGAGGATTTGGTTGTTACTGAAGGTGACCTTGATGACTTTGAAAGAACAGAACATCACATGACATCAAGTGAAGATTCAGAGCTGAGCAGAGAAAGGATGAGTGGCTCTGAATTGGCAGCCCTATCACTGGAATATTCTGAATGTGCAACAATCTTAAGACACAAAGGAGTGTCAATGTCACTTGAACAACAAAAACTGTCTGAAGAGCCAGAGCTTTGTGAAATGGAACCTGCTAAAGCAGGAACAAATACCCTATCATTTGCTGGAGAATCTACATACTCATTCTGTGAGTACAACACTGAACTGAAGCAACTAGGAGTTATGGGTCTTCAAAGAGCCCGGGAATTTGTAGAGCTACCATTTCACGTAATGGAGAGTGAGTACCTAGTGCGCTACCTCACTGTTGAGACGCACTTAGCCACACTAGAGGTGCAGAAGGAGATTGAGACAGTGAGAAAAGAACAAGAAGATATTACAGAAAAGGAAAATGCACAGTCCTTTATTATGGTTGACAATGGGGACCATATTGATTACAACCTCTCCACTGAAATGTTTCAGAGTATGAAACTGTTTGATGATGCTCCACCTGCCAGAAGAATGTCTCTGCTGTTCTACTCTGGTGACAGTACATATATTGAGCCCTCTGTGGAAATGGTCTGTCCATTCATAATTGCACAGGAAATGAGGCAGGATTTAAAGTCAGCCTACAGCACGCATACAAAAGATCAGCAAGGATTCCAAGGTTATCTAGATATAGGATGTGGCACAGATGTTACATATCCTGATGACTCCCTAAGACCTACGCATTCTACTGAGCAGAGATCAGATAGTACTCCAAGCCAATTTTTTTACCAAAAAATGGATGCTGAAAGTCTAATGGTTCATGGTCAGATTTCCCAACTAGACACTGAAGATGAATCTAAAACCATCGAGGCTGTCAGTGAATACGAACAAGGAGAGGTGTCTCATCAAGTCACTGAAGATGAACCAGAAAACATTGAGACTGTCACTGAATACAGACAAGAAGAAGTACCCCAACAAGTCACAGAAGATGAACCAGAAATCTTGGAGGCTGTCACTGAATACAAACAAGGAGAAGTGCCACACACAGTGAAAGAAGATGACACTGAAACCATCGAGGCTGTCAGTGAAGACAAACATGATGAAAAGAAACCAGAAGAGAGCTCTGAATTTGCTCCAGGTGGATGGTTTGACAATGTTGAAGATGGTCAAGAAATTGGTGCTGAAATTCTGACAGTTGATGGCCAAGTGCCCCAACCAGTCACAGAAGATGAAACTGAAACCTTCGAGGCTGTCAGTGAAGACAAACAAGATGAAAAGAAACCAGAAGAGAGCTCTGAATTTGCTCCAGGTGGATGGTTTGACAATGTTGAAGATGGTCAAGAAATTGGTGCTGAAATTCTGACAGTTGATGGCCAAGTGCCCCAACCAGTCATTGAAGATGAAACTGAAACCATTGATGTTCATAGTGAAGACAAACATGATGAAAAGAAACCAGAAGAGAGCTCTGAATTTGCTCCAGGTGGATGGTTTGACAATGTTGAAGATGGTCAAGAAATTGGTGCTGAAATTCTGACAGTTGATGGCCAAGTGCCCCAACCAGTCACAGAAGATGAAACTGAAACCTTCGAGGCTGTCAGTGAAGACAAACAAGATGAAAAGAAACCAGAAGAGAGCTCTGAATTTGCTCCAGGTGGATGGTTTGACAATGTTGAAGATGGTCAAGAAATTGGTGCTGAAATTCTGACAGTTGATGGCCAAGTGCCCCAACCAGTCACAGAAGATGAAACTGAAACCTTCGAGGCTGTCAGTGAAGACAAACAAGATGAAAAGAAACCAGAAGAGAGCTCTGAATTTGCTCCAGGTGGATGGTTTGACAATGTTGAAGATGGTCAAGAAATTGGTGCTGAAATTCTGACAGTTGATGGCCAAGTGCCCCAACCAGTCACAGAAGATGAAACTGAAACCTTCGAGGCTGTCAGTGAAGACAAACAAGATGAAAAGAAACCAGAAGAGAGCTCTGAATTTGCTCCAGGTGGATGGTTTGACAATGTTGAAGATGGTCAAGAAATTGGTGCTGAAATTCTGACAGTTGATGGCCAAGTGCCCCAACCAGTCATTGAAGATGAAACTGAAACCATTGAGGCCGTCAGTGAAGACAAACAAGATGAAAAGAAACCAGAAGAGAGCTCCGAATTTGCCCCAGGTGGATGGTTTGACAATGTTGAAGATGGTCAAGAAATTGGTGCTGAAATTCTGACAGTTGATGGCCAAATACCTCAAGCAGTCACTGAAGATGAAACTGAAACCACCGAGGCTGTCAGAGAAGACAAACAAGGAGAAGTACCTGAACCAGTCACAGAAGATGAATCTGAAACCATCAAGGCTGTCACTGAATATGAACAAGGAGAAGTGTCTCATCAATTCACTGAAGATGAACCAGAAAACATTGAGACTGTCACTGAATACAGACAAGAAGAAGTACCCCCACAAGTCACAGAAGATGAACCAGAAATCTTCGAGGCTGTTACTGAACACAAACAAGGAGAAGTGCCACACACAGTGACAGAAGATGTCACTGAAACCATCGAGGCTGTCAGTAAAGACAAACAGGATGACAAGAAAACGGGAGAGAGCTCTGAATTTGCTCCAGGTGGATGGTTTGACAATGTTGAAGATGGTCAAGAAATTGGTGCTGAAATTCTGACAGTTGATGGCCAAGTGCCCCAACCAGTCATTGAAGATGAAACTGAAACCATTGATGCTGTCAGTGAAGACAAACAAGGAGAAGTGCCCCAAGCAGTCACAGAAGATGAATCTGAAATCATCAAGGCTGTCACTGAATATGAACAAGGAGAAGTGTCTCAACAAGTCACTGAAGATGAACCAGAAAACATCGAGACTGTCACTGAATACAGACAAGAAGAAGTACCCCCACAAGTCACAGAAGATGAACCAGAAATCTTGGAGGCTGTCACTGAATACAAACAAGGAGAAGTGCCACACACAGTGAAAGAAGATGACACTGAAACCATCGAGGCTGTCAGTGAAGACAAACATGATGAAAAGAAACCAGAAGAGAGCTCTGAATTTGCTCCAGGTGGATGGTTTGACAATGTTGAAGATGGTCAAGAAATTGGTGCTGAAATTCTGACAGTTGATGGCCAAGTGCCCCAACCAGTCATTGAAGATGAAATTGAAACCATCGAGGCTGTCAGTGAAGACAAACAAGATGAAAAGAAACCAGAAGAGAGCTCTGAATTTGCTCCAGGTGGCTGGTTTGACAATGTTGAAGATGGTCAAGAAATTGGTGCTGAAATTCTGACAGTTGATGGCCAAGTGCCCCAACCAGTCATTGAAGATGAAACTGAAACCATTGAGGCCGTCAGTGAAGACAAACAAGATGAAAAGAAACCAGAAGAGAGCTCCGAATTTGCTCCAGGTGGATGGTTTGACAATGTTGAAGATGGTCAAGAAATTGGTGCTGAAATTCTGACAGTTGATGGCCAAATACCTCAAGCAGTCACTGAAGATGAAACTGAAACCACCGAGGCTGTCAGTGAAGACAAACAAGGAGAAGTACCTGAACCAGTCACAGAAGATGAATCTGAAACCATCAAGGCTGTCACTGAATATGAACAAGGAGAAGTGTCTCATCAATTCACTGAAGATGAACCAGAAAACATTGAGACTGTCACTGAATACAGACAAGAAGAAGTACCCCCACAAGTCACAGAAGATGAACCAGAAATCTTGGAGGCTGTTACTGAACACAAACAAGGAGAAGTGCCACACACAGTGACAGAAGATGTCACTGAAACCATCGAGGCTGTCAGTGAAGACAAACAGGATGACAAGAAAACGGGAGAGAGCTCTGAATTTGCTCCAGGTGGATGGTTTGACAATGTTGAAGATGGTCAAGAAATTGGTGCTGAAATTCTGACAGTTGATGGCCAAGTGCCCCAACCAGTCATTGAAGATGAAACTGAAACCATTGATGCTGTCAGTGAAGACAAACAAGGAGAAGTGCCCCAAGCAGTCACAGAAGATGAATCTGAAATCATCAAGGCTGTCACTGAATATGAACAAGGAGAAGTGTCTCAACAAGTCACTGAAGATGAACCAGAAAACATCGAGACTGTCACTGAATACAGACAAGAAGAAGTACCCCCACAAGTCACAGAAGATGAACCAGAAATCTTGGAGGCTGTCACTGAATACAAACAAGGAGAAGTGCCACACACAGTGAAAGAAGATGACACTGAAACCATCGAGGCTGTCAGTGAAGACAAACATGATGAAAAGAAACCAGAAGAGAGCTCTGAATTTGCTCCAGGTGGATGGTTTGACAATGTTGAAGATGGTCAAGAAATTGGTGCTGAAATTCTGACAGTTGATGGCCAAGTGCCCCAACCAGTCATTGAAGATGAAATTGAAACCATCGAGGCTGTCAGTGAAGACAAACAAGATGAAAAGAAACCAGAAGAGAGCTCTGAATTTGCTCCAGGTGGCTGGTTTGACAATGTTGAAGATGGTCAAGAAATTGGTGCTGAAATTCTGACATTTGATGGCCAAGTGCCCCAACCAGTCATTGAAGATGAAATTGAAACCATCGAGGCTGTCAGTGAAGACAAACAAGGAGAAGTACCCGAACCAGTCACAGAAGATGAATCTGAAACCACCAAGGCTGTCACTGAATATGAACAAGGAGAAGTGTCTCATCAAGTCACTGAAGATGAACCAGAAAACATCGAGACTGTCACTGAATACAGACAAGAGGAAGTACCCCCACAAGTCACAGAAGATGAACCAGAAATCTTGGAGGCTGTCACTGAATACAAACAAGGAGAAGTGCCACACACAGTGAAAGAAGATGACACTGAAACCATCGAGGCTGTCAGTGAAGACAAACATGATGAAAAGAAACCAGAAGAGAGCTCTGAATTTGCTCCAGGTGGATGGTTTGACAATGTTGAAGATGGTCAAGAAATTGGTGCTGAAATTCTGACAGTTGATGGCCAAGTGCCCCAACCAGTCATTGAAGATGAAACCGAAACCATTGAGGCTGTCAGTGAAGACAAACAAGATGAAAAGAAACCAGAAGAGAGCTCTGAATTTGCTCCAGGTGGATGGTTTGACAATGTTGAAGATGGTCAAGAAATTGGTGCTGAAATTCTGACAGTTGATGGCCAAGTGCCCCAACCAGTCATTGAAGATGAAACTGAAACCATTGAGGCTGTAAGTGAAGACAAACAAGATGAAAAGAAACCAGAAGAGAGCTCTGAATTTGCTCCAGGTGGATGGTTTGACAATGTTGAAGATGGTCAAGAAATTGGTGCTGAAATTCTGACAGTTGATGGCCAAGTGCCCCAACCAGTCATTGAAGATGAAATTGAAACCATCGAGGCTGTCAGTGAAGACAAACAAGGAGAAGTACCCGAACCAGTCACAGAAGATGAATCTGAAACCACCAAGGCTGTCACTGAATATGAACAAGGAGAAGTGTCTCATCAAGTCACTGAAGATGTACCCGAAAACATTGAGACTGTCACTGAATACAGACAAGAAGAAGTACCCCCACAAGTCACAGAAGATGAACCAGAAATCTTGGAGGCCGTCACTGAATACAAACAAGGAGAAGTACCACACACAGTGACAGAAGATGACACTGAAACCATCGAGGCTGTCAGTGAAGACAAACATGATGAAAAGAAACCAGAAGAGAGCTCTGAATTTGCTCCAGGTGGATGGTTTGACAATGTTGAAGATGGTCAAGAAATTGGTGCTGAAATTCTGACAGTTGATGGCCAAGTGCCCCAACCAGTCATTGAAGATGAAACTGAAACCATTGAGGCTGTCAGTGAAGACAAACATGATGAAAAGAAACCAGAAGAGAGCTCTGAATTTGCTCCAGGCGGATGGTTTGACAATGTTGAAGATGGTCAAGAAATTGGTGCTGAAATTCTGACAGTTGATGGCCAAGTGCCCCAACCAGTCATTGAAGATGAAACTGAAACCATTGAGGCTGTCAGTGAAGACAAACAAGGAGAAGTACCTGAACCAGTCACAGAAGATGAATCTGAAACCACCAAGGCTGTCACTGAATATGAACAAGGAGAAGTGTCTCATCAAGTCACTGAAGATGAACCAGAAAACATCGAGGCTGTCACTGAATACAGACAAGAAGAAGTACCCCCACAAGTCACAGTAGATGAACCAGAAATCTTGGAGGCTGTCACTGAATACAAACAAGGAGAAGTACCACATACAGTGACAGAAGATGACACTGAAACCATCGAGGCTGTCAGTGAAGACAAACAAGGAGAAGTACCCGAACCAGTCACAGAAGATGAATCTGAAACCACCAAGGCTGTCACTGAATATGAACAAGGAGAAGTGTCTCATCAAGTCACTGAAGATGTACCAGAAAACATTGAGACTGTCACTGAATACAGACAAGAAGAAGTACCCCCACAAGTCACAGAAGATGAACCAGAAATCTTGGAGGCTGTCACTGAATACAAACAAGGAGAAGTACCACACACAGTGACAGAAGATGACACTGAAACCATCGAGGCTGTCAGTGAAGACAAACATGATGAAAAGAAACCAGAAGAGAGCTCTGAATTTGCTCCAGGTGGATGGTTTGACAATGTTGAAGATGGTCAAGAAATTGGTGCTGAAATTCTGACAGTTGATGGCCAAGTGCCCCAACCAGTCATTGAAGATGAAACTGAAACCATTGAGGCTGTCAGTGAAGACAAACAAGATGAAAAGAAACCAGAAGAGAGCTCTGAATTTGCTCCAGGCGGCTGGTTTGACAATGTTGAAGATGGTCAAGAAATTGGTGCTGAAATTCTGACAGTTGATGGCCAAGTGCCCCAACCAGTCATTGAAGATGAAACTGAAACAATTGAGGCTGTCAGTGAAGACAAACATGATGAAAAGAAACCAGAAGGGAGCTCTGAATTTGCTCCAGGCGGATGGTTTGACAATGTTGAAGATGGTCAAGAAATTGGTGCTGAAATTCTGACAGTTGATGGCCAAGTGCCCCAACCAGTCATTGAAGATGAAACTGAAACCATTGAGGCTGTCAGTGAAGACAAACAAGATGAAAAGAAACCAGAAGAGAGCTCTGAATTTGCTCCAGGTGGATGGTTTGACAATGTTGAAGATGGTCAAGAAATTGGTGCTGAAATTCTGACAGTTGATGGCCAAGTGCCCCAACCAGTCATTGAAGATGAAACTGAAACCATTGAGGCTGTCAGTGAAGACAAACAAGGAGAAGTACCTGAACCAGTCACAGAAGATGAACCAGAAAACATCGAGACTGTCACTGATTACAGACAAGAAGAAGTACCCCCACAAGTCACAGTAGATGAACAAGAAATCTTGGAGGCTGTCACTGAATACAAACAAGGGGAAGTACCACATACAGTGACAGAAGATGACACTGAAACCATCAAGGCTGTCAGTGAAGACAAACAAGGAGAAGTACCCGAACCAGTCACAGAAGATGAATCTGAAACCACCAAGGCTGTCACTGAATATGAACAAGGAGAAGTGTCTCATCAAGTCACTGAAGATGTACCCGAAAACATTGAGACTGTCACTGAATACAGACAAGAAGAAGTACCCCCACAAGTCACAGAAGATGAACCAGAAATCTTGGAGGCCGTCACTGAATACAAACAAGGAGAAGTACCACACACAGTGACAGAAGATGACACTGAAACCATCGAGGCTGTCAGTGAAGACAAACATGATGAAAAGAAACCAGAAGAGAGCTCTGAATTTGCTCCAGGTGGATGGTTTGACAATGTTGAAGATGGTCAAGAAATTGGTGCTGAAATTCTGACAGTTGATGGCCAAGTGCCCCAACCAGTCATTGAAGATGAAACTGAAACCATTGAGGCTGTCAGTGAAGACAAACAAGATGAAAAGAAACCAGAAGAGAGCTCTGAATTTGCTCCAGGCGGCTGGTTTGACAATGTTGAAGATGGTCAAGAAATTGGTGCTGAAATTCTGACAGTTGATGGCCAAGTGCCCCAACCAGTCATTGAAGATGAAACTGAAACCATTGAGGCTGTCAGTGAAGACAAACATGATGAAAAGAAACCAGAAGAGAGCTCTGAATTTGCTCCAGGTGGATGGTTTGACAATGTTGAAGATGGTCAAGAAATTGGTGCTGAAATTCTGACAGTTGATGGCCAAGTGCCCCAACCAGTCACAGAAGATGAAACTGAAACCATTGAGGCTGTCAGTGAAGACAAACAAGATGAAAAGAAACCAGAAGAGAGCTCTGAATTTGCTCCAGGCGGCTGGTTTGACAATGTTGAAGATGGTCAAGAAATTGGTGCTGAAATTCTGACAGTTGATGGCCAAGTGCCCCAACCAGTCATTGAAGATGAAACTGAAACCATTGAGGCTGTCAGTGAAGACAAACATGATGAAAAGAAACCAGAAGGGAGCTCTGAATTTGCTCCAGGCGGCTGGTTTGACAATGTTGAAGATGGTCAAGAAATTGGTGCTGAAATTCTGACAGTTGATGGCCAAGTGCCCCAACCAGTCATTGAAGATGAAACTGAAACCATTGAGGCTGTCAGTGAAGACAAACAAGGAGAAGTACCCAAACCAGTCACAGAAGATGAATCTGAAACCACAAAGGCTGTCACTGAATATGAACAAGGAGAAGTGTCTCATCAAGTCACTGAAGATGAACCAGAAAACATCGAGACTGTCACTGAATACAGACAAGAAGAAGTACCCCCACAAGTCACCGAAGATGAACCAGAAATCTTGGAGGCTGTCACTGAATACAAACAAGGAGAAGTACCACATACAGTGACAGAAGATGACACTGAAACCATCGAGGCTGTCAGTGAAGACAAACAGGATGAAAAGAAACCAGAAGAGAGCTCTGAATTTGCTCCAGGTGGATGGTTTGACAATGTTGAAGATGGTCAAGAAATTGGTGCTGAAATTCTGACAGTTGATGGCCAAGTGCCCCAACCAGTCATTGAAGATGAAACTGAAACCATCGAGGCTGTCAGTGAAGACAAACAAGGAGAAGTACCCAAACCAGTCACAGAAGATGAATCTGAAACCACCAAGGCTGTCACTGAATATGAACAAGGAGAAGTGTCTCATCAAGTCACTGAAGATGAACCAGAAAACATCGAGACTGTCACTGAATACAGACAAGAAGAAGTACCCCCACAAGTCACAGAAGATGAACCAGAAATCTTGGAGGCTGTCACTGAATACGAACAAGGAGAAGTGTCTCATCAAGTCACTGAAGATGAACCAGAAAACATCGAGACTGTCACTGAATACAGACAAGAAGAAGTACCCCCACAAGTCACAGAAGATGAACCAGAAATCTTGGAGGCTGTCACTGAATACAAACAAGGAGAAGTACCACATACAGTGACAGAAGATGACACTGAAACCATCGAGGCTGTCAGTGAAGACAAACATGATGAAAAGAAACCAGAAGAGAGCTCTGAATTTGCTCCAGGTGGATGGTTTGACAATGTTGAAGATGGTCAAGAAATTGGTGCTGAAATTCTGACAGTTGATGGCCAAGTGCCCCAACCAGTCATTGAAGATGAAACTGAAACCATTGATGTTCATAGTGAAGACAAACAAGATGAAAAGAAACCAGCAGAAAGCTCTGAATTTGCTCCAGGTGGATGGTTTGACAATGTTGAAGATGGTCAAGAAATTGGTGCTGAAATTCTGACAGTTGATGGCCAAGTGCCCCAACCAGTCATTGAAGATGACACTGAAACCATCGAGGCTGTCAGTGAAGACAAACAAGATGACAAGAAACCGGAAGAGAGCTCTGAATTTGCTCCAGGTGGATGGTTTGACAATGTTGAAGATGGTCAAGAAATTGGTGCTGAAATTCTGACATTTGATGGCCAAGTGCCCCAACCAGTCACTGAAGATGACACTGAAACTATCGAGGCTGTCAGTGAAGACAAACAGGATGACAAGAAACCGGAAGAGAGCTCTGAATTTGCTCCAGGTGGATGGTTTGACAATGTTGAAGATGGTCAAGAAATTGGTGCTGAAATTCTGACAGTTGATGGCCAAGTGCCCCAACCAGTCATTGAAGATGAAACTGAAACCATTGAGGCTGTCAGTGAAGACAAACAAGATGAAAAGAAACCAGAAGAGAGCTCTGAATTTGCTCCAGGCGGCTGGTTTGACAATGTTGAAGATGGTCAAGAAATTGGTGCTGAAATTCTGACAGTTGATGGCCAAGTGCCCCAACCAGTCATTGAAGATGAAACTGAAACCATTGAGGCTGTCAGTGAAGACAAGCAAGATGAAAAGAAACCAGAAGAGAGCTCTCAATTTGCACCAGGTGGATGGTTTGACAATGTTGAAGATGGTCAAGAAATTGGTGCTGAAATTCTGACAGTTGATGGACAAGTGCCCCAAGTAGTCATTGAAGATGAAACTGAAACCATTGAGGCTGTAAGTGAAGACAAACAAGATGACAAGAAACCGGAAGAGAGCTCTGAATTTGCTCCAGGTGGATGGTTTGACAATGTTGAAGATGGTCAAGAAATTGGTGCTGAAATTCTGACATTTGATGGCCAAGTGCCCCAACCAGTCACTGAAGATGACACTGAAAACATTGAGACTGTCACTGAATACAGACAAGAAGAAGTACCCCCACAAGTCACAGAAGATGAACTAGAAATCTTGGAGGCCGTCACTGAATACAAACAAGGAGAAGTACCACACACAGTGACAGAAGATGACACTGAAACCATCGAGGCTGTCAGTGAAGACAAACATGATGAAAAGAAACCAGAAGAGAGCTCTGAATTTGCTCCAGGTGGATGGTTTGACAATGTTGAAGATGGTCAAGAAATTGGTGCTGAAATTCTGACAGTTGATGGCCAAGTGCCCCAACCAGTCATTGAAGATGAAATTGAAACCATCGAGGCTGTCAGTGAAGACAAACAAGGAGAAGTACCCAAACCAGTCACAGAAGATGAATCTGAAACCACCAAGGCTGTCACTGAATATGAACAAGGAGAAGTGTCTCATCAAGTCACTGAAGATGAACCAGAAAACATCGAGACTGTCACTGAATACAGACAAGAAGAAGTACCCCCACAAGTCACAGAAGATGAACCAGAAATCTTGGAGGCTGTCACTGAATATGAACAAGGAGAAGTGTCTCATCAAGTCACTGAAGATGAACCAGAAAACATCGAGACTGTCACTGAATACAGACAAGAAGAAGTACCCCCACAAGTCACAGAAGATGAACCAGAAATCTTGGAGGCTGTCACTGAATACAAACAAGGAGAAGTACCACATACAGTGACAGAAGATGACACTGAAACCATCGAGGCTGTCAGTGAAGACAAACATGATGAAAAGAAACCAGAAGAGAGCTCTGAATTTGCTCCAGGTGGATGGTTTGACAATGTTGAAGATGGTCAAGAAATTGGTGCTGAAATTCTGACAGTTGATGGCCAAGTGCCCCAACCAGTCATTGAAGATGAAACTGAAACCATTGATGTTCATAGTGAAGACAAACAAGATGAAAAGAAACCAGCAGAAAGCTCTGAATTTGCTCCAGGTGGATGGTTTGACAATGTTGAAGATGGTCAAGAAATTGGTGCTGAAATTCTGACAGTTGATGGCCAAGTGCCCCAACCAGTCATTGAAGATGACACTGAAACCATCGAGGCTGTCAGTGAAGACAAACAAGATGACAAGAAACCGGAAGAGAGCTCTGAATTTGCTCCAGGTGGATGGTTTGACAATGTTGAAGATGGTCAAGAAATTGGTGCTGAAATTCTGACATTTGATGGCCAAGTGCCCCAACCAGTCACTGAAGATGACACTGAAACTATCGAGGCTGTCAGTGAAGACAAACAGGATGACAAGAAACCGGAAGAGAGCTCTGAATTTGCTCCAGGTGGATGGTTTGACAATGTTGAAGATGGTCAAGAAATTGGTGCTGAAATTCTGACAGTTGATGGCCAAGTGCCCCAACCAGTCATTGAAGATGAAACTGAAACCATTGAGGCTGTCAGTGAAGACAAACAAGATGAAAAGAAACCAGAAGAGAGCTCTGAATTTGCTCCAGGCGGCTGGTTTGACAATGTTGAAGATGGTCAAGAAATTGGTGCTGAAATTCTGACAGTTGATGGCCAAGTGCCCCAACCAGTCATTGAAGATGAAACTGAAACCATTGAGGCTGTCAGTGAAGACAAGCAAGATGAAAAGAAACCAGAAGAGAGCTCTCAATTTGCACCAGGTGGATGGTTTGACAATGTTGAAGATGGTCAAGAAATTGGTGCTGAAATTCTGACAGTTGATGGACAAGTGCCCCAAGTAGTCATTGAAGATGAAACTGAAACCATTGAGGCTGTAAGTGAAGACAAACAAGATGAAAAGAAACCAGAAGAGAGCTCTGAATTTGCTCCAGGTGGATGGTTTGACAATGTTGAAGATGGTCAAGAAATTGGTGCTGAAATTCTGACAGTTGATGGCCAAGTGCCCCAACCAGTCATTGAAGATGAAACTGAAACCCTTGAGGCTGTCAGTGAAGACAAACAAGATGAAAAGAAACCAGAAGAGAGCTCTGAATTTGCTCCAGGTGGATGGTTTGACAATGTTGAAGATGGTCAAGAAATTGGTGCTGAAATTCTGACAGTTGATGGCCAAGTGCCCCAACCAGTCATTGAAGATGAAATTGAAACCATTGAGGCTGTCAGTGAAGGCAAAGAAGGAGAATTACCCCAACAAATCACTGACGATAAAGCCGAAATTCCTGAGGTTGTCTTTGAAGAAGAACAGAGAGAAGTGCCCCAAACAGTCACTGAAGATGAACATGAAACTTCAGAAGCTGTCATTGAAGACAAACACAGAGAAGTTCCCCAACCAGTCACTGAAGATGAACCCGAAAGCATTGAGGCTGCCAGCGAAGACAAACAAGATGAAGATAAACCTAAGGAAGAAAGTGACCAGAAGACGTTAGGAAAAGTTGAATATGAAAGTTGGTTTGCTGGCATTGTCCCAGTGGCATCAGAAGAAAAGGACAAAGCTGTATCGGAGGTTACAGTTGATCAGCAGGTTACAATAGATGAAGCTGTAGAAGTGATGTCACAGGAATCTGTATCAGTCAACCAAGCCTCCAGCTGGTTTGATGAAACTATTGACATGGAATCAAGTCAGGAAAAATCAGAAGCAGAAGGTATACAAGAAGTGATAACTTTTAAAGATTTCACTGGCGAGAAGAACCTTGAACCAGTCTTGGAGGGTGAAGCAGATGATGCTGAAACTAGAAAGTCTCACACATCAAAAGAGGAAGCTCAGGCTGAGAGGGTTCCTGAATACGAATTGTGCAAATCTCCACAACAATCATCCGAAATGGATACAACTTTGTATGATATTGCTGGAGATGCAACTTTGGATTTGTTTACATTCCACAGTGACTCTTCCAAAGCAGAAACTGATGTTCTCACATCTTCTGTTGAATCAAGGGAAGAAGACACAGCCTCAACATATCTTGAGGAATCGGCATCAAAGATGGAAACAAGGTCTGAAGCAACTGACGAGGATGTGGATATTTTCGCTGATGAAATGTCACCACTCTCAGCATTAGAACAGTTTTCTGTAGATGGTGTTGATAACCTCTTAGCTCAGCCAGAGTTACTGTCATCCGAAATAGCATGTCAGGGTGGTTCAGGAGAAGAAACTGCATCACACATCCAATTTGATGAGAAAACCACTGAATGGGCCATTTCCTCACCTGGACAACTCTACAGGTCTATGGTCCTTGAAACAATGGGCAATTCTGAGTCTGAGATGGAGGAGACAGTAAGCGATCCAGATCACAGCGAGGATGGAGATGAAGCCTTGCAACATTCTACACAGATTGATCGTGAAAGATTCCTTCAAGCAATTGAAAGCATTAATGCAAAGTCCCTTGAGCCACTCTCAGTTGCTGTGGAGAATAATGAGACCAATGTACACCCACCAATATCTGCTATTCCAGAAGAACACATGACTGAAAAAGAGTCTGAAGTAGACGACATTGAAACCACAGTGAAGGAAGTAAATGACAATTTATTTGGTGCTGACTATGACTCTTTTGAAGAGAGTGATGACCAACAGGGAACACTGGAGGCTGTGCCACATCACGATGATGATAATGACAGTTTAATAGAAACCGAAATGGAGGAGTTTGAAACTGAGAGCCCGCCCTGTGAGCTAGATGAGGAGATGATGATGAAGACTTCTGATATGCCAGCACAAGTGGTCACAGAAACTGAACATGATGAACAATTCAATAAGGACAGTCCTACATTTTTGGATATTGATGGAATGAAGGTTCAGCTCGATGGTATCTTGGATGATGAAACTGTCTTGCCATCAGATGAACTGTCTACTCAGGATATGATAGATGAAGCTGAAGAGGCAACAGCTGACCAACCTGTAAGATTTCTTGCGTACAGATCATTTAGTGAAGATGTCAGTGATGAGTTAGCTGTACAGGAAGATGTGACTTTGATTTCACATAGGGTTGTCGCAGACAATCTTGAAGCTGCTGCCTATGATGAGTTAAGTCTCCCTGGCGGACAAATCATTCCAGCTGAGTTTGTGGAGGAACTCCATTCAGTTGATGACTTCAGGAAGGAAAGTGATATTCATATTGTTGAGGATATATCTAACAAAGACGAGCAGTGTCAAAATGCTCTTGTGGAAACACCGACAACTGCTTCAGTAGAAAGCAATGTGGAAGATGAATTCGCTGATGCACAACCTGAGATCACTGGAACTTCTGATGGCCACATTGATGATGACAGTACTGATGCTTCAAACCAGCTTCGTCTTGACTCTGAAACTTCCGATGCTGACACCTCTTCATTAAAAAGACAAGATTCTGAGTCTTCACACTATGTTACTGTAGATGAAGACTTTCCTGATTCTGATTTGACAGAGAACGAGTCTGCTGCTGATACTGAACAGGATTCAGATGCAGAAGAGTCTGATGAGTCTGAGGAATCTGAAGCAGTGTCTGGAGAGGAAGGAGAAGATGAAGATGAGGCCACTGAGGAAGCAGCCAGTGAGGAAGAAGATGATGAAAGTGATGAAGAAACATCAGATGTGGAGGGATCCGATGCAGTGGACTCAGAACTGGCAGATTCTGAAGTAACAGAATCCGAAATAGAAGAGTCTGACATTGCAGCTTCTGATGCAACCTCAGCTATTTCAGGAGCTGAGTCTGATGGGGAAGAAAGTGATGAATCTGAAGAGGAAGATGATGAGGAAGACACAGAAGATGATGACGAACCAGAAGATGAACCTACTGATGTAACGCAAAGTGATGGGCTTAATGAGACGGGTGTCCAAACTCGAAAACAAGTTTTGGAAATCTCAGAAACAGCAACATCTCAAGCCGTTGCTCATGGAAACATGTCAGAGCCTGAGGGTGATGACCTGAGTAGTGTAACCGAGGCACAGTTTCTGACAGAACTCCAACGACAGAGATCATTAGATGATACAGCCAAGGTTTCTGATGCTGGTGACGTGAATCCTGACAACGCCCCTGCTTCATCACACGTTTCACAAGCTGACCCTGTTGAAACACCTGAAGAAGTTCCAATTGAAGGCCCTGCAGTAGAAGAGTCTGCGGAAGATGCGAGTGTCGATATGTGTCAAGGTTGGTTTCAGTTGTTGGTTACACAGTTAAGAATAATGTCAAAAGCGAGCTATTGATAAAACAAAAGATTAATTTGTGGTATTCATCTGGGAAAATATTACGCCCTAATGATATATTTCCACCCAACATATCCCTTTATTTATTTATTTGTTTTAGTTTACATTGAAATATCCATATAAAACTACAGACACAGAAATTGAAATTTAATTGTTTTGTAATTATTGAATGGTAAAAGTAGTTTTACTATACTTTCAATTGCTACCCCTGCTTGTTAAAATGACATGACTTGTGATCCTGTGGAAGACCATACAATTGTCTTGTACCAACCATTCAGCAGGTATTGTTAATAATTATCATGAAGAGATCAATATCGTCTGTGGATATTTCCAAAACATACATGGAAAGCAGGGTTAGATGTAGAGCTGGTAGTTAAATTTTTCTGGTTAATGTGGTACAATAAACAAGTAGATGAAATATGATTATGGATTTGAAATTGTATTTTGAAAGTATGAATATGAAAGATATATACACCTGTGCAAAAGTTAAGCACCACCGATATTTTTATGAATGTGACTGTAAGCCTTTCATATTGTAAGTATTAATATCACTGGAGAAAATATGTAGCATGTGATGTTCATTTGCACCCACACCTATATAAAAAGTTACTTGACCAGTATTTCACATTTTTTTTACCTTTTAACAAAATGTTACATTTTGGATTATTATTCACCCAATTTATGTTTTTGGTTCTATTTGCTGTCAGTCATGGAAAACATGTTGCTGAGCCTTCTGACAAACACACTCTGTGTCAATGATCAACTTGATCAGATGACAGTTACAACACACCTACTCGTCAAATAAGTAAAAATGCAAAATACTGTCAAGCTAACTTTTTACTGAGGTGTTGGTTCAAGTGAACATCACTTAAAGAGGACCCGTGAAGATCAGGGGTAGAATAGGTCTCCAGCAACCCATGCTTGCCGAAAAAGTCGACTATCCTTGTCGTAAGAGGCGACTAACAGGATCGGGTGGTCAGGCTCGCTTACTTGGTTGATGCATGTCATCATATCCTAATTGCGTGGATCGATGCTCATGAAATCAATCACTGGATTGTCTGGTCCAGACTTGATTATTTACAGACAGCTATCATATAGCTTGAATATTGCTGAGTGCGGCGTTAAACAACAAAGAAACAAACACTTAAAGGGCAAGTCATTTTTATTTGTGAATATAAATTTTGCTAAATGCAAGAGAAAACTTCATGATGTTCGTAAGAAGTATTTAAATGTGCAGGTGAAAGTGATGAAATCACGCGCTCTAGAATCGTGGCCAAAAGCTAACTGCGCAGCAGTGACAACTGTTTTCATTGGCTGATAAGTTGCCGCATTTATCTATCTTGTGATTCTTAGCTGTTATATTTATACTGTTTCTGCTATTTCTGTTAATCCCACAAAAATAAGAACATTGGATACATAATTGAGTGTGTGAAACGACCTTTCATCGTGACATTGTAGATAATTCAAATAATAATTAATAATGAGTAACAAGAGTGTTATTACTAACATCCTGTTTGGGTAATAACACACCAGCTGCCCTCTCCCCTATCAAACACAATGAAAGCCTGTCAGGGATTCATCCCATGAGTAAACAACTGAAGAGTTGTTACTGAGGTGTCATAAGTTGTTGATACGGGAGTCAAATGGATGAGCAGACAGAAAAAAGACAATGTATTACAGACTGGGCGTCAGTCAGATCACCACGATTATTGAAATTGCGTAGTGTTTCAAACTTCAGGAACCCATTCTAACCTCCAATAAAGGGAATCCAATTACTTGCTCATTTTTTTGTTAGGGGGGACGATTTCGTATGTCGTTTTATATTGTCTGTTTACACTATTCCCATTTTTCAGATTTCATTTTGGTCAAGTATTTGTGATTGAGGATGCCCTAAAGTAGTAACATCTGCAAAGTTGTTTTGTTGACTTTACTTGCCCTTTAAGTGATATTTCATACATACAATGTGGCAGAATTACAGTCAGTGTAAAGACAACACATAAATTATGGAAGATGCTTAACTTTTTCATAGATTACATAAGTCAGAGGCCCATGAAGATCCGGGGTAGAATAGGTCTTCAGCAACCCATGCTTGCCGTAAAACGTGACTATGCTTGTCGTAAATCGTGACTAACGGGATCGGGTGGTCAGGCTCGCTGACCTGGTTGATGCATGTCTTCGATCCTACATTGCGAGGATCGATGGTCATGATATCAATCACTGGATTGTCTGGTCCAGACTCGATTATTTACAGATCGCCGTCATATAGCTGGAATATTGCTGAGTGCGGCTTTAAACAACAAACCAACCAACCAACCACATACCAGCAAAATCAAAATATTTGTAGTTTAAATTCACATTCTGTTTTCTTCACAGGAGAGTCACAGAGATTAGACGACACAGAGGAGGAGGAGGGAGACGCGGAAGCTTTATTAAATCAGGATAGACAGAGGGAAAGAGAGAGAGAAGAAAGAAAGAAAAGGCGATCACGCGAGAGAGAAGATGCAGGGCCTGAAGAGGAACTAGCGCGTCACAGGGAGAAAAGAACACAGCTTGAGTCAGAGATGTATGACTTGCTGTCAGAAATCCTCACGTTGGTGTCTGATACATCAGAGAAGAAAGCAGTTGAGGATTCCTCTACTGATCAGTCACGACTGGAAAGTGAAGTGTCTGAGGGAGAAATGTGTGATGAGAAGAATGTATCTGTTGTATCAGACACTGCAGCATCATCAGGTGAATTTCAAGAGGAGGAAGCAGCAGGTCAGGATAACATGGATGAGCATCATCAGAAGTTGGATGAAAAACAAGATAAGACTGAGCTAACATCATCCGATGTTTGTGAAACAACAAATGCTGAAACGGCTGCAGGTGCAGGAGACATGGACGTTCAGACAGAAGAACTGGGGGAATCAACAGCTGGTGATACGAGTGTCAGTGACCAGGAACTTGGAGAGAATATGAACGATACGCCCCAGGAACTATCACAGTCTACAGAGACAGTGGAAAACACAAATATGAAAACCTCAGTAGAATATCAGCAGGATGCAGATATTGTTGAAGCTGCAGAAGATACAGCTGCTTTAGAAAAGAGACTTGAATCAGGATCACAGTCCGACTCAGACACTGAGTATGAGGATTATGCTGGAGATACTCCTACAAAAGTTGCTGCATCAGAGACAAAGTTAGCTATGGAAACATCAATTGATGCAACCCATCAGCAAGTATCGGATTCCGACACTGAGTATGAAGAATATGCATCAGAAGAGATGCTTGTTGATGACATAACAGCTGATGTAGAACAACCAGTGGTTGAGGAAGAACAGTCATGTGATGGCTATAAGGACGAACCAGGAAGTGCTTCGACAGTCCTTGATGACATGGAAGCAGCCACTAAGATGAAGACTGAAGAGCACATTGTGTGTGAAAGCGATTTTCCTGAACTACAATCTGGTATTGAACCGTCTGCTTCCTTGACATCAGATGATTCTGAATTATCTGCAGCTGAGGGTGCTATTACTGATCCAGAAAAACAGCAATTTGTACGAACTGTTTCAAAAGAGCTTGATGAGGAGCTGAGACAAGCAACCGATGAGGAATGTTCTTCCACTAGATCAACCGAGAGCCTAGATTCGCTGAAGAAAGAGTCATTCATTCGGAAAATACATCATGACATGGATGCGGAACTATCCCAGGCTCCTGGTGTTACGGAGTCTCAGTCAGTTGATGGACTTACGAAGCTGAAGGATGTCCTAGATGAAGTGGATGCAGAGCAGAGAAAGGAATTCATTGAATCCATTGTGAATGAAATGAATGTTGACATCACTGATGACGCAGGGAAAACCACAGAAGAACTTAAAGATACAGAATTATTTACAACACAGGATTCATCTGACCTACCCCATACTGAGCAAGAGCTATGTATAGCTGAGGGACACCCTTCTGAAATGGCAGTCACGGATACTGATTCTATACCTACTTTGGAAATGCAGGAATCACCATCAGAACTAACACAAACTGATGAAATAAATGTCAGTGAAGATGCAAAAGAAACAGCCACTCCAAAAGAAGAGTCGGCAATCATAGGGACTGAGGAAGAACTTAAACGCACTCACAGCCAGGAAAGAGAGATCTGTGGTGTTTCAACCGTCAGAAATCTTAGCTCACTTTCAGAAGATGTCAGCAGTGTTGAAGGTGATGTACCAGTTGCACTCGAGTCATCAGAAGTAGCAGATCCTTCCTTGGCACTGCTGTACCATCTGGAGACCTTCTACTTCATAGGTGACAAGGAGAAAGAAGAGAGACAGAAGTCAGAGATTTGTGTCAATCTGCCGGAACGAAGTCCAAGTGAAGAAAGATCTGGTGAAAAACAGTTAACCAGGCATATGTCGGTGACATCATATGAGGTTAAAGATACTGACATAAAGGAATGTGAGGGAAGTGGAGACACGAACATACCTTTTGAAAGACAGGTGTCTGAAACCTCCTTTGTCATAGTGTCACCAAGCGAGGTGGAATCTCCCAAAGAACAAGCACCTGAGACTAATGTTAGACAGTTTGGTAGACAGATTTCTGAGGTCTCGTTCCAAATGTCATCCCCAAGAGCTAGTGCTGAAAGAGACACTGCAGCAGAATCGAAGAAACTGCTTGAGCGACAAGTCTCAGAAATATCTGTTGACATTGGCACAGACAGCAAACAGTTTGAACGACAGATCTCTGAACTTTCATTTGATCTGGATGAAGAAGGTAAACCAAGACAGGTCGAGAGACAGATTTCGGAAGTCTCCTTTGCAGTCCATCCCTTTGAAACAACAGCTTCCGATGAAGATGAAGAAGGCAATCAAAAGAAAAGATTCACTAGTGCCTCATCATATATGATGGAGAACTACTTGAAGGACCAATCAGAGAGCGCCACAGTCCAGCAGACATCAACTGCAGAACATGGGTTCTTTCCTGATGCATTTGTTGTTGAAGTGCCATCAGCTGATGAGAGCAGCCTTAGCTATACACATTCAGACCTGGATGACAGCGTGTTCGGAATGGACACAGAATCGGAAGCATCTAAGAGCCGACTTGATATAAGTCAGTTGACAGAGAGTGAACATGAAGACAATACAGGATTCCAGTTTACTCCAGGAATGTATGGCTATAAGGAACCTCCCAAAACCTACAAAAGTGAACTTGTCAAAGAAGTCAATATTGGACAGACAGTTATAGCACAAGCTGATGAGATACCCAATCCTACATCCCCAACATTGAAATCAGAAAGCTTGTCAGATTCACAAAAGGATGACTTAGACGTTTCAACAGAAACAGTTGCAGATGAAGATGATGATGAAGATGAATTCATTGATGCTGACAGTGCACAAGATGATGTTTTACTTGATGAGCAGATAGCTGATGAAACAAGAGAAATATCAATAGCAGAAGCGGGTGAAGGCCTTACAAGCATCACATCTGAGGATACAACTATGATGTATGAGGAGAAACCATACCAGTCAGCAGAAATCGCAGAGACTCTTGAAACTGGTGATGTGATGCTCCAAAGTGAAACCATTTCGGATGAAACAAATGACGAGGAAGTAGTGGCCACAGTTGAACCTAAAGATGGTCCTTCCGCATGTGAAGACATTGCAACAAGTGAGTCTATTTCTGCTGAATGTCAAGGTGCAACTGCAATTGTTGTATCAGAGGAAAGTGACAATGAATCAATGGTCATCTATGAATCAGAAGAAGAGATTACTGGTATTGGGGAAATCAATTCATCGTCAGACATTGAAGAAGCTGTGAAATATGCAGAAACGTTTGATGTCCAACCAGATAGAGGTCTTGTTGAAGAACTTGGAGAAACAACTGAGGGTGATGCTTGTTTACAAGATGTCCCTTATGGTCAGACAGATGACCAGCTGCCTAAGCGAGTTGAAGATGATAAAACTCTGCGACAGTCTCCAATCAGAAGTATCCATGAAGATGACGATGAATCTGATAAAGACTTTGAAGAAGCCGCTTATGTCAAGGAAACAGATTCTGACTGGCTTCAGATGAGAACCTCAGACTTCCTGGTCACAGTGACTGACATTGAAAGACAAGAGAAGATTAATTTGTCAATATCTACATCAGATTTGTCTACCTCTACAGATGCTGATGCTCATCTCAGAGAAGTTGCTGATGATGCAGAAGAACTCGAAACAGGAGCCAAGTTCAGCAGTGGCGATTCAGAAGACGATTTGCTTGCAGAAGATGTATGTGAGGATGTTATTAATGTCAACGCAAGTGAAGAAATTGTGAAATCTGATCAGGATATGTCTGAAGATAAAGAAGTAACAGAGAAAAGTGAAGATGTTAAGGAAGGGGTATCATCAGATGCAACCAAATCCGAACAGGATCAGATGGAAGAGATGATACTTGCACAGGGACAAATGATTGGAGATAGTGACAAAGAAATATGTGATGTTGATACTCAAAAGAACACGCCCTATAGATACATGTATGAAAAAGAATTTGAAGAATTACGAAGATTTGAATCATTTGATGACTTGGAACCAGTTACTAAAAGCAATGTTGAGAGTGTTCAGTCACAGTTACCAACTGATGACCAAAAACCCATTCAAGAAGAGGATTTGACTGAAATGCGAGACACTGTTGAATCTACAAAGCCCAAAATGTGTGAGCTTTCAGAATCTGAAAATGACATGGATGAAAGCTATGAAAGTCTAATTGAGACATCAGGTGAATCTCTAGGAGAAAGTCAGCACAAACAACTTCAGCAGTTGACAGCACAAGAACAGCAAATCAATACAGAGTCAATAAAAAAGCTATCACAAGAGGCACCTGATGAGGTGGAAGATTCTGTTGAAGACGCAGAAAGCCCCGAAAGTCTACTTGAGACATCAGGAGAATCTTACTCAGAAGAGAGTCAGCACCGACAACTTGAACAAGATGTTAAACCAGAAATTGTGTTGGAAACATCTACTGACACATCCATTTCTGAGACTGGTGTGTTTGAAGAATCTGTATCCATGACTGAACCGGAACATAGACAGCTTGTACAATCAGACACTGAAGGTATGGTCAGTGAGAGTTCACTGTCAGAACATTCACAAGTTGTCAAGTCTGAAAATAAACTCTTTAATGTTCCAACACTAGAAAACCTAGTGCAGATGACAATGTCATCATCAGGGGAATATAATGACCTGATAAGAGACCTTACCCTGTCAGAAACAGATACATTTGACCAACATGGTAACAATGTTACCATACCAAAGGAACCTATTTTTGAAGGCCTGGACAATCTTACAGAGGACAAGGAAATTACATTTGGTAATCAGATCGAGGAAGACATTGAGACGAAAGCAGCTGAAGATCTTGTGCAAGCTGTCATTGCCAGTGCAGTTGTGAGTTTGCAGGAAGAAAACAGGGAGACAGATGTTTCTTATGGGCATGTTGAAACTGAAATTGATAGAAGAGAAGAGTTTGCAGATGAATTGTATCCAGGAAAGCGCCCCTCAGTCGAGAGGTCTGCCCCTAAGACAACAGTTGATGTATCAGACGAGGGTGGAATTCAAGACATCATAGATACAGTTGTAGATGACAACACTGCAAAGTCAGATGATGTCCACGTTGTACAAGAAGAAGCTGCAGAAGAAGATGTACACTGGAGTCGCAGAGACAGTTCTGTATCTGAAGGGCCAAGTTTTGACCAGTTGAAAGACATCCTGGCCAAGGTTGTTCCAGCTGCACCAGAATACTATGACCAAGAACCAGCAGCCACTCATGTTAGTGGGGAGGAGAGCCAAGGAATCGAGGAGCAACAACTACACATGGATGATCGGAAAACTGATCATGTGCCTCGGTCCGATAACCAAACACCAAATGCTGCTGAAGTTGCTGAATCTGTTGATGCAGATGACACCCAACTACCCAGTGAAGACAAAGTTGAATCCATACCTCATACATCTGAAAGTAAAGAGAATATTGAAACAGGATTAGAGACAAATGAACAGACATTACGGTATATGTATGACAAAGAATTCAAAGAACTTCTTCAGTTTGAAGGCAGTGAGGAAACATCCGCCCAGCCAATAGCATCAGTCGACCATTACAGTGACAGTGAACATGAAGTCGCAACTACAGAAACAGAACCATCAGTTCAACCCGAGACACAGGATGACCTATGTGAAAAAGAAAAGGAATCTGAAACCGTTGAACAAACTGAGGCTTCAGATATGTATATGCCAAATAATGATGATGAGCAACTGCAAGAACGGGCTATTGATCACATGGAAGAAGTAATTTCAACTCCTGACATTTATGAAGATACAGAGCAAGAGGAAAAGGATGTGCCCTATAAGGAATCCAAAGACCAACTTCAAAATACATCTGTGCCATTAATCACAGCGACTGATGTAAGAGAACAGCTTACCACGATGTCCGAAGATGACATTGATGTGGAGGATGCTAATGAGGAAGAGTCTGAGAGATGTTGCATCAGTCAATCAGAAGAGGATGTCCAACCTGCAGGTGAAAATGCTGAAGGCAGTGCTGACAATGAATCTGAAAGCCCAGCATTGAAGGAGTTCGAAGAATCAACTCAGAATTATGAAACCTCAGATTCTGAGATTGCAACAGAACCCGAAAGAACAGAGCACAGTACCCTGGATGAAGACAGTTCAATGTCAGCAGAAGTTAATGATTGGACTATTGATGAAACAGAGAAGCTTGCAGAGGAAATAGTTCAAAATGCTGTTCAGAGTGCATTGTCTAATTTGTGGACTGAAAAAGATTCATCATTTGTTGAACAAAGTTACCAGTTACCAGGAGATGACCATGAGATTGAAGATGACACTGCGAGTCGAGAGGTGCTTGAGGAGAATGAATATCCTGTTGAAGCAGTCACTACATATGCCAAGCAAGAGGTTTCTGAAAAGGGGGCTATTGAAATTGAACAGGTTCAGACATTGATGGCTCCATATGCTTCAGATGAATCACAAGCTTGTGTAACAGAAGATATTGATGACATGGAGAAAGTAGCTGAAGAAATTGTCCAAAGCGCACTTGAGAGTGCAAAGGCAGCTCTGACCCATCCTGACCAATTCACACAAGTCGATAAAGCAAGAACAGAGGATGTGATTTTGCAAGAACACGTTCATCACGATCAACTTGAAGGACACACTGGTCATATGCTGTTACCATCAGCTGCAAAATCAGAAGAAATCAAGGAAGGCCATGAGACAACAGAAGTTGTGACAGAGGGCGAGGAATGGTTTGACGGCAAATACTCTGCTGAAACATCTATGGTTGACCAGCACCAACAGTCAGTGGTTGTGGCTACTGATGAAGTGATTCAAGCTTCAGTTGAAAGGATGGACAGTGAATGTGAGAGATATGAAGGAATGGAGACTGTGACAGATGAGCTCAGTGGAAGTAGGAGCGAATACTGTACTGGGCATGAAGAAAGTCTGACAGAAGAAGCACTTGAAACAGAAACTAAAGTGACCGGTGGTGAAATTTCTAGAAAAGAAGAACAATTGAGCAGTGCAGACCCTGAGGTTTTTGAGGATGAACAAACATCCTCAGACCACAGACCACAACTTTCAAGGCAGGAATCCCTGTTAATGAGAAGGATCCGAAGTATTGTATCAGATTCAGATGAGGAGGAGTATGATGAGCCTGAACCATCAACTGATCGTGCAGAGGAATTTATGCCATCTGAAGATTTGACTGCCAGTGCCTACAGACCTCAACAAGGCCAGTATGCACCATATGGTTTGGATGAGGATTATGAAGAAAGTAATCTTGAGTATGAAGAAGCCTCTGGACAGGATGGTTATGTTAGAGATGAAAGAGAAAGAGAAGATATTTTCTGTGAAGAAACTGAAGATAGAGAAACAGATTCTCGTCAAGGATTCTCTGATACATCAGGAAGTGTGACTTCAGAATCGACTACTTTAGTACCAGATGAAAGTGAAAGCCTTCAGATAGCTGAGCAGTTAGATGTTATTCAGGAAAGAGTTTTAGATCCAGAGGACCATATTGCTGATGATGATGACATTGACAAAGATGAGGAGCAAGGCCAGGAAGATGATGTTACTCTCACAACTGATGACTCATCTGATCAGGTAACATTCACAGAAGCAGAAGAATCAGGTGAACTGTTTGAGACTGAAGGGAAGTCTAACATAGGCTCAGACATTCCACTGATGACACAAGATGAAACAGCATCTGTTCAAGCCAATGAAAAAATGCAAGACGATCAAGTTGAAGCTTTAGCTGATGTTGATATTCCAGAACCAATATGCAGTGATCAATCAAACCAAGACAATCAGTTTGACCTGACCCGAGGAACAGACGATGGTGCACCAGAGGTGGATGAAGAAAGATCTGTAAGGGAAGGTTCAATAGACCATATGGAAAGATTCCTCTATGCCGTTGAAGAGTGGGAAACTGAACTTGTACAACCACCAGAAAATACTGTACCTTCAGTTGATGTAGATGAATCTGCTTCCAAACAAGTGATAAACATGACAGATGAACTTGTTAAAATGACGGATGATGTAACTGGGGAGAGCTGTGGTAGACATCACTTTGTCCTAAACCCAGAGGCAGATGAATTTATCCCTCAGTCAGATGAATGGAAACTACAACTGTTAAAGGACACAATGTCAGGTTCTGTGGTTAGAGAATCAAGACTGGAAACCGACTACAGAAGTCAGCCAATCGAATCCGCTGATGATGAGTTAACGTTAGACCAGTTAACAGAGAAGATTGCGTCTTTCTGTTTTGATGAACAAGCTGAATATGACGAATCTTCAAGTCGGCTTGTGCAGCCATTGCCGGTTGCAGGAGAAGAAGATACATTGACATCACTTGACAAAGAAGAGATTCTTGAAGAGACAGTACTTGCTGATGAAAAGAAAATTCTTGAAGGAGAGACAGTGTTGGAGACAGAACAGAGAACACTTGATAAGGAAGAGACATCATTTGATAAGGAGAATGTACTTGAAGAAGAGACACCTCTTGAAATGGGAGTGACTGTGCTTGATGAAGAAGAGGCAATTCTTGGCAAAGAAGAGATGGCACTTAAAGAGATCATACTTGGAGGAGAGACAGCACTTGATATAAAAGATTCAGTACTTGACAAAAAAGAGATGACAATTGATGAAATGACCTTACTTGGAGGAGAGGCAGTACTTGATGAAGAGACAGCACTTGAAGAAGAGACAGATATTGATAAAGAAGAGACAGTGCTTGAGAAAGAAGAGAAAGCACTGGATTTAGAAGAGACAGTACAGGACAAAGAAGACACAGTTCTTGCTGAAGAAGAGACAGCACCTGAGGAACAAGCAAAAGAACTTCAAGAAGAAGAGACAGTGCTTGGTAAAGAAGAGACTGTTATTGCTAAACAAGAGACAACACTTGAAACAAAAGAGACAACACTTGAGGAAGAAGGCGCAGTACTTGCTAATGAAGACACAGTTCTTGATGAAGAAGAGACAGCCCCTGAGGAACAAGAGAAAGAACTTCAGGAAGAAGAGACAGGACTTGCTAAAGAAGAGACTGTTATTGCTAAACAAGAGCCAACACTTGAAACAACAGAGACAACACTTGAAACAAAAGAGACAACACTTGAGGAAGAAGACACAGTACTTGCTAATGAAGACACAGTTCTTTATGAAGAAGAGACAGCACCTGAGGAACAAAAGTTAGAACTTCCTGAAGAAGAGATAGAACTTGAAGAAGATACAGTACTTGCTAAAGAAGAGGCAGCACTTGAAGAAGAGACAATGCTTGACGAAGAAGAGTCTGCACATGATGATAAAGAAACAGCACTTGAGGAAGAAGAGAGAGCACTTGATAAAGAAGAGATAGTACATGATGAAGAGGCGGCTTTTGAGGAAGAAGAGACAGTACTAGAGGAAGAAGAGACACCACTTGATAAAGAAGAGGCAGCTTTTGAGGAAGAAGAGACAGCCTTTGAGGAAGAAGAGACAGCACTTGATAAAGAAGAAACAGCACTTGATAAAGAAGAGACAGCTCTTGATAAGGAAGAGACCGTACATGATGAAGAGGCAGCTTTTGAGGAAGAAGAGACAGTACTTGCTGAAGAAGAAACTGTTATTGCTAAAGAAGAGACAACACTTGAAACAAAAGGAACAACTCTTGAGGAACAAGAGACAATACTGGATGAAGAAGACGCAGTTCTTGATAAAGAAGAGACCATACTTGTGGGAGAGACAGCACTTAAAGGAAAGATAATACTTGACAAAGAACAGACAATACCTGAGACAGTTCTTGATGAGGAAGAGACAGCACTTGAAGATGGATCTGTACTTGAAGGAGAGACAGAACTTGATGAAAAAGAGACATTGTGTGATGAAGAAAAGACAGACCATTATAGCGAAGACACGGTTCTTGAAGAATATGAGACGGCACTTGATAGAGAGACATTACATGGAGTGGAAACAGTACTTGATAAAGAAGAGAGAACACTTGAGAAAGAAAAGACAGCTCTTGTTGAAAAAACAATTCTTGACAAGGAAGAGATAAAACTTGATAAGGAAGAGACTGACCCTGATGAAGAAGAGACCCTACTTGACAAGGGTGATATAGCACTTGATGAAGATCAGACTGCACTTGACAAAGTGACTGTTCTTGAAGGGGAGACAGTACTTGAAAGAGAGACGATACTTGACAAAGAAGAGATAGCATTTGATGAAAAAGAAACAACACTTGACAGAGAGGAGACAACCAAAGATGAACCAATTGAACAAGTGGCGACAGCTGAAGAAATGACACTTGATAAAGAAGAGACACCAATAGAGGCAGCACCTTTTCAAGAAGAAACATCCACCATGGAAGCACTTGATGGAGAACAGATACTCAGAGAGCCACTGCTTGATGAGGAAGTAACACCCAGACATGAGGCAGTTGACAAAGATGAGATGTTGACAGTGGAAACACTTGATAAAGAACAGACACCAGTGGAGGTTGTTCTTGATGAAGAAGGAACACCCATACAGACAGCACTTGAAAATGATGACAAGCCCACAGAAGAAGCAAATTCTCAAGACGTGTATCCCGAAAAGTTATTATCTGGTGCGGGAGAATCATCTAGAGTGGTATCACTTGTTGATGAAGAAGAAATGGAAAAGAAGGAATCACTTGACACAGAAGAGACATCCAGAGAAATTCCCCTTAATGGGGAGGAAACACTCCAAGAGGAGGCATTTGAGGAAGAAGAGATACCCAGAGTGGAATCATTTGATGACAAAGAAAAACCCAGAGAGGTATTACTTGATGAAGCAGAATCACCAAGATGGGAAGCACTTCATGAAGAACAGTCACCCAGGGAGGCATCACAAGATGAGGGAGAAACATCAAGAGAGGAAGCTATTGACAACAGAGAGAGCCCATCAACAGAGGACAAAACAAATACAGATGAGGAACACGCATCAATAGACGAAGCAGAGTTTGCACTTGGTTCAGATGAGCCAGCTAGAGATATCAAGCCTGATACAAATGAGGACAAATCAGATTTGGCTGATGCTGAAACTACAGATATTGGTTCCGACATTGGTCAGTCAGAAAGACAGTTAGAGACACAACCTAAAATTGCTAAACAAGAGCCTGAATTATTAGAACACTTTGAAGAATTTGCAGAAAGCTACATTGCAATGTCATCAAGCATATGCACAGATGATGGATCAAAAGCAGAAGAGGAATCATCAGAACTGGAATCACGTGATCCACAAGCCGAAGAAAGTGGGGAGGCCAGTGAACAGGAAACATGTGAAGTTGTTGACAACAAACTGTTGATTACAAATGATGCTGAACCGATCATTTCCGATAATGTTGTGGAAACCGATGATACTTCAACTCTAACTGATACTCTTGAGAAAAGTGAAACAGATGCAACTCAGACTGAGGGTGCTTCGACAGATAAGGAAGTCTCTGAGACAGAATTTACAGAAGCAGATGACGACAGACGTGATGACAATAGTCTCATAGATTCTATGGAGCCAGTGGATATCAAAGAAATAATGACGGATTTGGAAATCCTTAGACCATCAGATTCTGATTTAGAGAAACTTGTAAAAGAAGTAATGCGAGAGGATGATATTAACATTTGCCCTGACTATCTTCCTGTGGAAGGGATGGTAGCTAAATCAATGTATGAGTCTTCTTTAACCTCACAAGAAATCAGCCCGGACAGGGAGAGTGATTCTTCTAATGCTCTCTCATTTGATATTGACGCAACTACTCTTGTTCCTTCATCAGCAGAAGAAGACAAGTTCCTGATGTCAAGCAAGGAAGACACATCTACGTCACTCTATCTATCAACTCAGGAAACATTGGACGTTGAAAATGCAAAAGTCGATGCCTCTGCCATGGTATTTGAAAAGGTGCAAGAAGCCAAGGTCAAGCGAATGGAATCTCAAGAAATTTATGAATTTGATGAAGTATCTACTGTGGCTGTTTGTGGCGATGGACAGGCTGCATTAGAGTCATTGAAAGATGAAACCAAGTCCTTGTCTGAAGTTTCTTATGAGGATGACAATGAGATGGGCAGTGAACAGACTGGAGAAATCCGGCATGAAACACAATGTACTGAGGAAGTGCAGTCAAATCTGACTGATGCTGATAAAGTGATGGATGATCTGTCAGTTGGAAGTGATACTAGTCCATCTGCCCCAAACAGCCTCCAAGGGTTTTCAGAAACACCATCATCAGAAGGACTGCCAGAAGACCTAAAAGCCACATTGGAGTTATTGGAAACCCCGCCAGAGATCACTGTTCTACCCGATGCATACTCAGACCAAAGTGCCAAATCCCTGAACGAAGCATCTGTGGAAGTTGGGCAACATCATGACGTCGTTGGGGATATGATTGAGAGGGATGATGAGGAAGAACACTTTTACAGACCTGAAGAGGTTGAACTGAAGATGGATAGTCTTGGAATCCTAACACCACCTGAATCTGCGCATACTGAATCCGGCTCTGATTCACTTGATGCTGAGTATGAAATGGTACAAGTCGATGACACAGATGATGATGTAAAAGCTGATAATCATTTTGATGCAGAAGATGACTGGGTTATCGCGGATGCTGAAAAGAAGAAGCTGGAAAAACTTGAGCCTAAACTTGAGGAGAGCATTGATATCGTTCCTGCAGAGGCTGAAGCCAAACATCAAGAAGCTCCTGGTGATGTTACTGATGAGAGCAGGAGACCCAGAATCCCATCACTTTACCAACGAACAATGTCAGCTGTACTGTCTGGGGCTGCTGAAGAAACGGATTGGCAGCTGGATATGGCATCTTTTGTCGCTGATGAAGATGATGATCTCTTTGCTGAAGGTGGTGCCGATGAAAGTACTGAGTCCGGTTCAAAGGAAAAAAGACCTCGTATTCCTTCACTTTACAACAGACAAATGTCTGCAGCTTTGTCAGGTGTAGCTGAAATTCCTGAATGGCAATCTGAAATTGTTTGTGAAATGATCAGAGGCCAAGACAATGCACCTGATGACGATGTAACGCTTGTTGATGATGACAAGACCATTAAAACTGATGATGAATCAGCTTCTTCTGCTGCAATTTCGGTGAGAAATCCTTTTGGTGCTCTTGCCAGTGATACTACGGACACAACTTCAGAAAGTGATTCAATTGCAGGAAAAATCTACACGTACAAAGCACTCCAAGACAGAGCAGAACGTGAAAGGGATGTGTTGCAGAGACAATCAGAACCTACAGTGGACAGTGAAACGTTGTCCAAAGGGGATGGTGAAGAGAAAAACCAAGAAACGAAGAAGAAACAGAAGAAGAAAGTTAAGAAATCATCACCAGTACAGTATGATGAGTCGGAACAAACATGGACAACCAAACCAGACATAAATGAACAAGAAGCTACAGAAACTCAGCAACCACAGGAAACATCTGACTCAACTAAAGAAGCCAAGAAAAAGAAAAAGAAGAACAAGAAAAAGACTGTGGAAGAGATCCCACAAGAGACTCCTCAAAAGAAAACAGATGAGAAACCTGCCATTATAATCCCATCACTTCTCTCAGCTCCTGATGTAGAAACAGCAGATGAACAGGGAAAGAAGAAGAAGAAAAAGAAGAAGAAGAGATCTTCTTCAACTCACTCATCGCGATCAGAGCCTGTTGTTGAGGATATTAGGGATATTACAGAAGATCCATTCCTTGTCTCTGGGGACTGGAGTCAGATGGCTGTCATGACAGAGATGTCCACACAGGCTACACCTGTTTCCAGTCCTTCCTGGGCAATGGCAAGTGTTCTGGACACATCAATACAGGATGCAGTACTCATAGGCAATGGAAGACAGTCTCGAACAAGACCAGACAGTCTTATTCAACAACCCTTGGTTCAGCCAAGTGCTGCTGTAAATGTGCCAATCATTGAAGTGCATCCAGTTGAAGAGACGTCACCAAAGCCCAAAAAGACCAAGCGTAGATCTAAATCTGCAGCTTCTCCGTCCCAAGAACCAACAACAGGTTCAGCACGAGATGCTACATCCCCAGCCAAATCTCTCCTTTCACCAACTAGTGCAAGTGAGACAGACACAACCAGCAATAGCCAGCAGAAGAAAAAGAAAAGAAGGAACAGATCGAGATCTACATCGACTCAACCCAGGTCCCTTTCGGCCCAGCCACGTGAACGTTCTGTTACACCATCGTTGTTCACTGATGATGAATCTGATGATGAAAATGGGGCTCGTGGGAGATCAGCAACGAGGAAAGCTCTGAAGAAAGCCTCCAGCATGCCTCCCAGTCTTGCGAATATCAGTGGATCAAGAAGGAGAAGAAGCAGAAGGAAGAACATTGTGGTTGTGCATCAGCCAAAGAACTTCTAAGCCTGGTGACTTGTAATAAGATCAAATTGATGACTGTAATAATATTTTGAAACACTGTGGGAATTGTGATTTTTATAATGGTGATTTATGCTGAATTTGATGTGAATTTTCACTACATTATCTGACTTCAAATGAAAACTGTGACTCACACTGACAGTTTCCAGATTGATGTCATTGGAGACTGTCAAACCAGATTGACTTATTGCCATTTTGCTAAAAAAAACAGTATTTATGACATCATTCACTATTGTTTCTTATCGTACTGAAAAGAAGTATATTTTGCATCCAATGCTGCTTCGACTTTTGGGAAACTTGGTATCCTAGTCACGAACATTTCATCTACAGGTGCACCTTGTGTCTGTGTAAATTATCAGTTGGATAAGGAACGAAGCACGGTGACGTAGGAATGCTGACTCAAAGTGATTGTTTGGACGTCAAGTTAGGTTGGGACTTAATGTTTCAGAAGTATTGCTCAAATCTCTTTGGCATCATATAGTACCGTTATTGTCACTGAATTCTACACTTTGAAGGCACACGAACAGCTGCTGTTTGTGAATGACCATTTTAACTTTGTGTCTGCTTGTTACCTTAGGCAGTGGTCAGTCTCTGACCATTGGACATGATATGCCCGTAGAGGTGTACTGCCTGCTGTTTGGTTTCAAGATAACCTAAGCAGCCTGTGATGTGTCTGTGTCATTGTATTTAGATGGGTTATGTTTCAACATACTCAGCATTGTGCCTTTAAAGAATAGATCTTTAGTTGTGTAACCATACGTGTTTAGAGACAGGATATAGAGGATGTAGATGTACCTGTATGTTTGTCAACAAGAGGTTATTCATGTTATCCGTAACTTGACGTCCAAATAACAGTATTCAACTTGCATTTATGATGTTAATATTTCAGGATTTGACATGTGAAAGACAAAGGACAGGGAATTGATTTGATCACAATGAAAAAACCCGATGATGACTGACTTGAAGGCATTTAAATGACTTTGGTGGAAAAAATTGCTGACTTGCAAATCGACTGATATAATGTCATTCGTTGGTTGATGGACATAATATCACAAACCTGTGACTGTCACTTGATTCATTGCTTTGCTTTTGTGAAGACTTTATCACACCAATGTAACCGACATATTCACTTGTTGAGGGTTCAGATTCACATATCAAATGGCTTGTCAAATCTTCTTCATATTTGTATGCACAGGAAATGTCAATAGTGTCTATTGTAAACTAAGAAAGTATAGTTGTGTATATGGCTGTACATTTTGAAGGAGATATTTGTATGCTGTGGGAAATATTTCAGAGTATGCTTTTTATATTTTTTATACTTGTTATTTATGTTGATATTGTGGTGCGTTGACATTTCCTGCGAAATACACATTTGTTGAAGACAGTCATTTTGTAATGTAGGTTCTTAATGGCATAAATGCATACGTAATTAAAATGTAAATATGTCAACATGTCTGTACCTAGACTTGGTACCATTCCTTTTTGAGAAATTAATTAAATGCATTTATGTTATTCAGAACTGAAGTTCACGGTTGTAAAATGTCAACTTCTGATTGACTCACTGATATGGAACTCTCGAAATCGACATGTGTTTTACCTGTGATTGACATGTGTATTACCTGGTTACCATGGTGATGGGTATGTTCCCACCAAGGAAGCAAACACTTTCTTATTCAAAGCATAAAAATTGTCACTCTCCATAAAACTTGTGTGGAAATTACCGACTGAAACTCTCGTCTGTGATGGCAATCCTTAAGTATGTCAAGCATTTAGTCGGTTTATGATTTAGTTGGTATAGAGCCAAAGACATTGAGTATTCAATTGATATAGATGTCGGACAGGAATATCTACCATCACCCCTCTGTAATGTCAGTGGACCCTTCTGAGACATTGAAGGGTTTAACCATTTCGTTATTTAGGGGTGATAGAGTATTACTACAAAGTGTGTGATTCCATATTAATTTCCAGTTGTGTTATATTACAGTGAATATGTTCGACTATACATTGTGATATTTCTGCAAGAATGTATAGTGAATAAAAATGTAAACATTTTACTACATTGTTTATTTTGTATTTTCGAATGATGAAAAGAATGGATTTTTGCCTCCAGTTGCCAACATCCTCTCTAAGCCCTGGTTGAATGTCACATTGGCCGCTGGTGTCCGCTTTGTGGCAGCGTTGTGACACTAAGCTGTATTCCAGCTACATGATGACGACCTGATAAAAAAAATCGATTCTTGATCAGACAATCAAGTGACTGATATTATGAGCAACGTCCAACACTGTGAGGGTACGATGAGTGAGTGAGTGAGTTCAGTTTAACGCCGCTTTTAACAGTATTACAGTTATATCTCGGGGTGTCAGCTTAATGTGGGATGAAAGCCCGAAGTGATGCGGGTCTCAGACGTTTACCACTTCGGTGAAACCCTCGAGCACGGGTATGGTGCTGACAAACCTACAAACATAATCGGGGCGAACCGGGATTCGAACCCACAATCATAGGTTTCTGGCGTGCCCAAGGGACGCACTGTGCACAGCGAATCACGGTGCCTTAGGCGACTGGGTCACCCGTGACCCCCAACACAGAAAGACGACCGAACACAAACAGGTGTAAAACGCTATCCTGACATTTCTAAATAAAATGGTTGTTTATCAATAAAAAAATAATTCGTGAGTTATTCTTGTGTAAAGAGTACCAAGTGTAGATTTATGATTAGCATTGTCAAAAACATTGTTAATTGTGTTGTCTTTATGCCAGACAATTAGCAAATTTTATTCCTATACAAATGAATGTTATGTGTTAAAATTGTATTGTCTAGTGATAATGGGTTCAGTTAAGACTGCCGTGTAAACAGTTACAATAATACGTACTTCACTCACCAATACAGGGATATATCAGTGGCAGACATTTAGCTTACTCCATGCACAGTGACTCTACTCGACTTGTCCAAAAAACATTCATCATCAATCATGGGCAACCATGTATTAGAGAGAGACGCAAACGCAGAATGAACTAGATAAAAATAACAACAAACAAATGAACTAAAACTGACAATATCACACTAAAATACCCGTCACATTATAATTTCTCTCAAAATGTACACCAAATTCACACTTATCTTGACATGGGTACAATGTGTGACCATTTCTGGTGTCCCCCGCCGTGATGTTGCTGGAATATTGCTAAAAGCGGCGTAAAACCATACTCACTCACACTTATGTAACCTGAAACAGATTTTTTGTCAAACAATAACTTATCCCCGGATTTAGACAGAAAATGACTTAAATAACCGTAGGTGGTGGATCCAGAGGCGGGATTCAGGAGGTAAACCACCCCCATCCCCATCCCCACCCCCATCCCCATCCCCATCCCCACCCCCATCCCCATCCCCACCCCCACCCCCATCCCCACCCCCATCCCCATCCCCATCCCCACCCCCATCCCCATCCCCACCCCCATCCCCATCCCCATCCCCATCCCCATCCCCACCCCCATCCCCATCCCCACCCCCATCCCCATCCCCACCCCCATCCCCATCCCCATCCCCACCCCCATCCCCATCCCCACCCCCATCCCCATCCCCCAACCCATCCCCATCCCCACCCCCATCCCCATCCCCATCCCCACCCCCATCCCCATCCCCACCCCCATCCCCATCCCCATCCCCATCCCCCAACCCATCCCCATCCCCCAACCCATCCCCATCCCCACCCCCATCCCCATCCCCATCCCCACCCCCATCCCCACCCCCATCCCCATCCCCCAACCCATCCCCATCCCCCAACCCATCCCCACCCCCATCCCCACCCCCATCCCCATCCCCACCCCCATCCCCATCCCCATCCCCCAACCCATCCCCATCCCCCAACCCATCCCCATCCCCACCCCCATCCCCATCCCCATCCCCACCCCCATCCCCATCCCCATCCCCCAACCCATCCCCATCCCCCAACCCATCCCCATCCCCATCCCCATCCCCACCCCCATCCCCATCCCCATCCCCATCCCCCAACCCATCCCCATCCCCATCCCCATCCCCATCCCCACCCCCATCCCCATCCCCATCCCCAAACCCATCCCCATCCCCAAACCCATCCCCATCCCCATCCCCATCCCCAAACCCATCCCCACCCCCATCCCCATCCCCATCCCCATCCCCAAACCCATCCCCATCCCCATCCCCAAACCCATCCCCATCCCCCAACCCATCCCCATCCCCATCCCCAAACCCATCCCCATCCCCATCCCCAAACCCATCCCCATCCCCAAACCCATCCCCATCCCCATCCCCATCCCCAAACCCATCCCCATCCCCATCCCCATCCCAATCCCCAAACCCATCCCCATCCCCAAACCCATCTCCTTTTGAAATCCACAACCAGTAAAATCCTTCATCCCCACCGAGAGTCGTTTGAGAAAAACTGGATCCGCCTCTGAGTTAGTGAGTGAGCATCACTTCGGGCGCGGGTATGGTGCTGGCACTGAATATCATGATCCCGATTCGCCCCGATTATGTTTCTAGGTTTGTTAGCACCATACCCGTGCTCGTGGGTTTCACCGAAGTGGTAAACGTTTGAGACCTGCATCACTTCGGGCTTTCCTCCCACATTAAGCTGACACGCCGTGATATAACTGGAATACTGTTCAAAGCGGCGTTATTAAACCAAAATCACTCACTCACTCCTCCTGATGGCCACTGATACAACTAACAGCATGAAGTGCCAGCGTTTCTGTTTCGCTACTTTTTCTCTTTTTCTTCCTGACGTCTATGGTATCTTTCCCTGGCAGAATTCTACACGTGATGATGTTCTTTTTTTGCATTCAGCCTCAGACACTCCATAGGTGTTCTTTCAGTTTAGGAAACAGCTGGAAATCACTTGGTGCCAGGTCTGGCGAGTATGGAGTGTGATGTCTAACTGACTGGGTGAGAGCTCACCTGACTGAATAAAAATCAATAAAAGTTAAATGTCAACAAATTTGGTTTTAAAAAAGCTGGTTAAATCCAGTAGAACCAGCATTATTCCCGATAGCTTTTTCAACCACCTTCAATCTTACACTTTTCATTGTTTTTAATAGTCGTTCTTCATTTGTACAATTTCATGAAAGTGTCTCACATGCATTAACAACATGTTCTTCAGCTTACTCAGAGCTATTGACGCTTGTTGGCATAAAGGGGCTGTCGGGTAGCCTTGTTGTCAAAGTGTTCGCTCGTCACGCCGAAGACCCGGGTTCGATTCCCGACATGGGTACAATGTGTGAAGCCCATTTCTGGTGTCCCCCGCCGTGAAATTCTGGAATATTTCTAAAAGCTACGTAAAACCTCACTCACTCACTCACTCACTCACTCACTCACTCACTCACTCACTCACTCACTCACTCACTCACTCACTCACTCACTCACTCACTCACTCACTCACTCACTCACTCACTCACTCACTCACTCACTCACTCACTCACTCACTCACTCACTCACTCACTCACTCACTCACTCACTCACTCACTCACTCACTCACTCACTCACTCACTCACTCACTCACTCACTCACTCACTCACTCACTCACTCACTCACTCACTCACTCACTCACTCACTCACTCACTCACTCACTCACTCACTCACTCACTCACTCACTCACTCACTCACTCACTCACTCACTCACTCACTCACTCACTCACTCACTCACTCACTCACTCACTCACTCACTCACTCACTCACTCACTCACTCACTCACTCACTCACTCACTCACTCACTCACTCACTCACTCACTCACTCACTCACTCACTCACTCACTCACTCACTCACTCACTCACTCACTCACTCACTCACTCACTCACTCACTCACTCACTCACTCACTCACTCACTCACTCACTCACTCACTCACTCACTCACTGGGATACGTTTGTGTTTGACACTCTACATGCTCTATATCTCCAGGACTCGCATTTCGGTAAACCTACACTAACCCTTGACCCATCCAAAAGATGTTCGCGATCTTAAATTACCAGCCCTTGATTTTCATTAACATGTTACGAACCAATCAAACGCCGACATAAGGAAAAAGTAAAATGGGTAAGGGAGGTAACTCGTATTGCCTCAATACCAAAGCCACTGCCAGTTGCATTTGTGACCAACTCGTGTTATTCCGGGACAAGCTTGCCGGTTACGGAAAGGGGCGAGTGGTGACGAATGTGCCAGTTGTTATGGACATCCTTTACATTCAAAAAACTTTTGAGGGCTTTCTTGTGCGTGTCAGTTTTTCAATGTTGAATATCTCGCAAACTCTATCGTATTCAAATGGGGCTGGCCGCTCCGTTGTTGATATCGCCATGAGATAAAAGCTGGTTTGTAACCCGCTCTCTGATTGGTGCGTTAAACCTACCCATATTCCAGCTACATGACGGCGGTCTGTAAATAATCGAGTCTGTACCAGGCAATCCAGAGATTGACATCATGAGCATCGACCCACCCAATTGGGATACGATGACATGAATCAACCAAGTCAGCGAGTCTGACCACCCGATCCCGTTAGTCGCCTCTTACCACAAGCATAGTCACCTTACACGGCAAGCATGGGTTGCTGAAGACCTATTCTACCCCGGATCTTCACGGGTCTGTTGATTTTGCAAAACGTTCACTGATTGGACTATTGATATGTGCGCTAGTCTTCTCATATCTTAGGACAGAAAAGTAGGCTGGAAGTGGAAACTGGAGTTTGATATAGGCTACTGGATATTCTTGTCTCTTGATGCCGATAAATATACGCATGAAGCTACATTACAGGAAGTATTTTACAGTGTATATATACTAGAATCATTCGTCAACATTCGCCCCTTTCCGTAACCTGTAAGAAGACTCGTCCTCCTGTCGATGAAAGTTATGTGCGAAAATACGACAAACCAATCAGAACGCGCGTATGATTTCAAGTTCTTCGTCAAAGAATCCCTCAGAAATAATTTTTGATTTTACATATATCTTGCATCTAAAATATACGAAAGACACAGTTAAATGTGTTCAATCATACTGTATAATTCCGCACGTCCCGATGTTCTTTAA